GGACCTTGAGAAAACAATCCAAAAATTCATTTGGAACAAGAAGAGACCCAGAATAGCAAAAGCAGTTCTAGGTAGCAGAGACATGGCAGGGTGTATCACAATTCCCAACTTGAAACTCTACTACAGAGCTACTAGACTTGGGTTTCTAACTGTCCCGAATTTGATAGCTTCCATCATCGATCCATTCATCCATCCTCATCCATCCACCCACTCATCCATGATGGGCTTTCCATCATCCACTTGTTTTTCTGTATCCATCTTTCAATCCATCCATATCCATCCTTCCATCCTTCTGGCCATCCTGACCAACAAAACCCTCTGTGATCTGGCCCCTGCCTATCTTTCTGATCCCATTTCATGTCATTGTATAGTATGTGGATTTCTTAAGTCCCACATGGCCTCTTCCTTTTCCTTAAACACACCAAGTTTATTCTTTGCATGGGCTTTCCCTTCTGGTTGGAAAGATATTCTCCCAGTCTTAGCATGACTGGGTTTTATCATCATTCATAATGAGGCTCAACTCAACCTTTCAGAGACTTTTCCTAATCATTCTAAAGCATGCAGCCCACCTCAGCCTCCAGTCCCTCTTTGCCACTTCATTGGGTTTTTTCCATTCATAGAATTATCCCTTCTTAATGTTTTCCTGTTGTACTTTTATTTGATCTTATCTGCCTCCCCTAGCAGAATGCAGCTCAGAGGGAAGTTCGTCTCTCTCATCTCTCGAGTCCACTGCTGTGCCCTCAGTACTCAGAGCAAACTCCACCCAATGTTAGTGACTTTGAACAACATTTGTTTCACTTTTCTCACTTACTGGCCATGCCTCCACCCTCTGGAACTTCCTTTATCACCTTTTCAGAGGGGAGGGGACAGCAGCATCCTCCTGGAAGTGACTCACACCCTTTCTGCTCACATTTCATTGGCCAGGGTGGACACATGGCCATTCCTGACTCCCAGGTACCTCTTCCTTGCCCCTAGCTTAGAAGCCAGGATGTGTGTACTTTGTGTGACTGTCTTTGGGTCAAGGAGAGAGAGGAATGAAAAACAAGGTTGTAGCTTCAGATTGAGGCTTGCTAGGGACCAGAACCTGATAGGAAAATGACAAGCAAAAAACAAAACAAAACAAAACAAAAACAAGTCAAGGAAGATCCTTTATTTTCTCTGTCCCTTGCGATTTCCCTTTCTGCTTATCAAGCAAGAAAGGAAGGGCTATTTTTGGAGCTCTATTTTTGTTAGCTTTGTGTTACTGTGACAAAATACCTGAGTCAATAACCTTAAAAAGGAAAAAGGGTTATTTTGGCTCACAGTTTCAGAGGTTTCACCCATGGTCCTGGCCCTGTTGTTTTGGACTGTGGTGGCCCAGTACATCACGACAGAGGCAGCCTGTTCACATCATGGCAGCTGAGAAGTAAAAAGACAGCAGAAAGGCTGGGGATTTAGCTCAGTGGCTCTGCCACCTGCCTCGCAAGCGCAAGGACCGGAGTTCGATCCCGACCGGAGTTCGATCCCCGGTACCAAAACAAACAAAGAAACAAAAACAGCAGAAAAGGCCTGGGGTCTCAGTATCTAGACTGCGGCCCCAGGCCCCCAATCACTTCCTCCACCTCCAAGTCACATCAGAGGCCAGGCTCCAAGTCCTCGGCGCTGGGCGTTTGGGGGCAGATCGACAGCCGCTGGCCAGGGTCTGTGCGCCTGTGAACCTACCCCGTGAGGAGGGCTGAGAAGACTGGCAACCTCGAGGGTCACTGTCCTCGGAGTCCCGGCCTTCTTCTCCAGGCCCAGCTCTTCATCCTCACAGCCCTCCGACGGCGGCTCCCCGAGTCCTGTCCAGCTCGGCTAGGCGGATTCCATGTGAAGGCAAAGTGGGCCATGCTTCCTGCATCTTTCCTGGAACCAAAGTCTCTTCATTGTTTTCTAAGAAGATTTGCAAGATATTTCAAGCTGCACTGAAATTTTTCCTGCTGGGAGGCTTTGTTTGGACCAATGTTTGCCATTACTTAAATTAGAACATTTCAGAGTAGGGCCAGAAATTTAGCTCAGTGGTGCCGTCGCCTGCCTCGCAAATGCAGGGTCCTGAATTCGATCCCCAGAACCAATAAAAGAATATTTCAGAGTAAGTTATCAAGTTCTTTAATAAATCAAACATTAATTATAACTGAATTTCATTAAAGTGTCATTTTAAATTGAGGGACACTTCAATGTGGTTTTCTACTTATTTAGATAATCTTTTAAATTCTTTAAAAAAGTGCTTAAATGTTCTCCATAGTGATCTCACACATATTTGTTAATTATAAATAATTTCTGTATTTGTCATTGTGTGTGGTATCTTGTGCAAATTATTTTTATGTTGGTTTATGCTAGCATAAACAAATTGATTTCTATATGTTGATTTTTTGCCAGAGAATGTAGCTGTATTCTTTTATTAGTTTTAATTGTTTGCTGTTTTTAGAGTTTTTTCTAGTAAGTGATGATATCATCTTCAAATTGTGGCAGTTTTGTCTCTTCCAATCCTTATCTTTTATTTCTTTTCTTTCCTTGTAGCATGGCTGGGATATTGCACTTCTATGTGGGAGACAGAATTTTTGTATTAATTCTGATCTTAAAGGAAATACTTTGACATTTTCTCTGGCAAATAAAATCTCTAAAAGGAAATTTATTTTGCAGTGCTAGAGATTGAATCCAGGACCTCACCCACAGTGGGCAGGTGGTCTGCCACTGAACTTGACCCCTAGCTCCAAGTAATATCTTGACATATACTTTGGCAATGAAATTTATTTTTTGAGAAAGGTTTCTCCTCCCTCCTGTTCCTCTCCCCTTCTCCCTCCCTCCCTTTCTCCTTCTCCTTCTTCTTTGCCACAGTGAGGATTAAGCCCAGGGTCTTTGCACTGAGTGACATTTCCAGCTCTTTTTATTTTTTATTTTGAGACAGGTTCTTGCTAAGTCGCTAAGTTGCCTAAGCTGGGCTTGAGCTTGCAGTCCTCCTGCCTCAGGCTCCCAGAGAGCTGGGATTATAGGTGTGTGGAAAGAAAAGAAAAAGGAAAAAAAAACTTAAGTAGGTTTTGAATCTTGTCTTAGTTACTTTTCTTATTGCTGAAATAAAATACCAAAACCCAAAGTTAAAAGAGGAAAGGTTGGGCCGGGGATTTAGTGCAGTGGTTCCGCTGCCTGTCTCACAAGCGCAAGGACCCCAGTTCAATCCCCGGTACCAAAAAAAAAAAAAAAAAAAGAGGAAAGGTTTATTTGGCTCAGAGTTTGTAGGGGTTTCAGTTCATAGTCAACTGGTTACAAGGCAGGGTAGCATGACAGAGGGGCATCGCAGAGGAGAACCAGTCCATGGCAGCCAGAAGACACCAAGCAGTAAAGTAGCAAGCAGCAAGCAGCAACAGGTTAGGGTTAGGGCCTCTCTCAGTCCGGTATGTTCCATCCAGGCTACTGGGGTGGGTAGCACTCACACCCAGGGTGGGGCACCTTTAATCCCAGCATCACACACCCTAGATGCAGCCACCTCTGAAAAGCCCCACCTATGATGCAGGAGGCTTTGAGGGGACAGCTAGACACAAGCCATAACAAGTTTTATCAAAATTTTTCCCTGGGCCAGGGATTTAGCTCAGTGGCGCCATGCCTGCCTCACAAGGGAAAGGTCCTGAGTTTGATCCCTAGTACCAAAAAAAAATTATTTTTCCTGAATGCTAAAAAAATTGTATTTTTTCTTACTAATGTGGTAGGTCACATTAATAGATTTCCTGATTTCTCGTGCTTCTAAGTTGTTTTACTTAAATATGTATTAACTTATAGGATATGATAGTTTCTTTTCTTTTCTTTTCTTTTTGTGGAACCAGAGATTGAACTCAGGACCTTGTGATTGCGAGGCAGGCGCAGCACCACTGAACTAAATTCCCGGCCCTGTGATAGTTTATTTTAAAAAATTATGTCATACTGATCCTCTACATAGAGGACCCAAAAAGTTCCACCAAATGACTCTTAGAATTAATAACCAAATTCAGTAGTGTAGCAGGATACAAAGTCAACACACAAAAATCAATAGCTTTCCTGTATACTAAAAATAAACTCACTGAGAAATTAGGAAATCAGTACTATTCACAATATCAAGAATAATAAAATAGGGCCAGGGATTTAGCTCAGTCGTTCCGCTGCCTGCCTCGCAAGTGCAAGGACCCAAGTTCGATCCCCGGTACCAAAAAAAAAAAAGAAGAAGAATAAAATACTTAGGAATTAACCTAACCAAGGAAGTGAAAGACCTCTACAATGAAAACGACAGTACTCTGAAAGAGATTGAAGAGGACATGAGAAAATGGAAAGATAACCCTTGTTTCTGGATAGGCAGAGCCAACATTGTCAAAATGATATTCCAAAATGATACTTCCAAAATTGATATTCAAATTTAATGCATTTCCAATCAAAATACACATAGCATTCCTCACAGAACAGGAGAAAACAATCCTAAAAAATTCGTATGGAACCAGAAGAGACATAAAATGGCAGAAGCAATTCTGGGCAACAAGAACAAGCAGGAGGCATCACAGTCCCAGACTTCAGGTTATATTACAAATCTACAGTGATAAAAATGCATGGTAGTTAGGTTTGGTGGTACATGCCTGTAATCGCAGCACTCAGGAAGCAGAGGCAGGAGGATTGCTGAGAGTTTGAGTCCAGCCTGGACTAAATAGTGATTTCAGGGCCAGCTTGAAGTACAGAGCAAGACTTTGTCTCAAAAACAAAACAAAAGGGACTGGGGATTTAGCTCAATGGTTCCAGTGCCTGCCTCGCAAGCTCAAGGTCCTGAGTTCAGTCCCCCGGTACAAAAAAACAAAACAAAACAAAACAAAAAGCTTAATCTTGGAAATGACCTGTATGCTCATCAACAGATGAATGGATAAGGAACACATGGTATTTATACACGATGGAGTACTACTCTGCCATAAAGAAGGATAAATTTGAGTCACTTGTAGGAAGATGGATGCACCTTGAAACCATAATACAATAATAATAATAATAATGGTCAGACACAAAAGGTTGTAACCATTTCTCTTACATGAGAAACCCAAAGTATAAATAATTTAAAGAGCAAAATGAAAGATGACAGGAAACAGGGAAGTAGACCTCCTGCAGATGGGAGGGAGACGTGGGGCGGAGGGAGGGAGGGCGAGAAGGGATGGGAAGTCAAGGACTGAGATACTTACGTGCAGTACCACGTCCTCACCGTGTGTTCATTATATACCACAATCGTGCCAATAAAGAAGCCAGCCCTGCTTTTAACATTAGAGATTGTGTATCAAATATCCTTGAAATAAAATTCGTTCACATTATCATTTCTGTGTTACTTTTTAATTTTTAAAATAAATTTTATTTTATCCCATTCCCCCCTCAAGCCCCTTCCCCTCCCTGTGCACAAAAGCTTTGTTTCCATTTTTCCATCTGTTTTCACTTTTTTTCTTTCTGCAAGTTATTAACATAAAGCTTATGAATGAAATATTTTACCTCTTTTGTACCTTTTTGTACTGGTGTATATTTTGTAATAATAGCACTACTCAAATCAGGCACTAGATTTTCATGAGAAATACATGATTTGTATTTAAATTTAATAAAATTTGAAGTTGGAAAAGTGTTGAAAAGGTTGGAAAAGTTTTGGAACAGTTGTGAAAGTGTCCTAATAGGTTCCGTTTATGTGGTATTCTGGAGAAGGAAAAGTGACAGGGATGGAGAGCCGGTCAGTGCTTGCCAGGCGTGAGCATGGAGAAAGGCCGGAAAAAGAAAACTGTGAGGGAAATTTTGGGGTGAGAGATTAGCTTTATTTTCTGATGGTGGTTTGCTTTTATGATTCTGTGCATTTATCAAAACTAACAGAATGACTACAAGTGGTGTTCTACTTCACGTTAGAAAAGGACTTCACAATGGAGTAGATTTAGTCAGTGCTGAAACATTTCCAGTGCAATTACAGTGGATGTTCAAGTTATGACCAGCCTAACATAGGAACAACGTGGATTATGACCGGGATTTTAGTTTTAACTTATGACCAAAGTTAAGTCATGACCTGAATGCCTCCCATTTATGCTTCTCAGATGCAGGTTTATCTGGTGAAGAGTTCTGGAAGGAGCATGACAGCATCCTTTCCTGTATGGGGTTCTCTGCGAAATATCCTGGGCCAGTGTAGTCCTTTCTCTCTAAGGACACTGAGATCTGCCTGTACACAGGGGAGAGACTTTGAAGGCTGCGGAGAGGGGCCTGAGTCTTCAGTTGACCAACTTGACTTACAACCAGCCCTGGCGAATGAATTGAGTACTCGTAAGTCAAGGTTCTGATGTACATTTAATTAAAACCAAGTACAAAACCCGGTTCCCCAGTCATTCTGGCCAAGTTTCAAGGGCTCAGGTGCTCAGGGGTGAGTGGTCCCTGTACAGTGAGTGGCACAGAGAGAGCCAGTTCTCCCTGCAGGGTGGGCAGACTGGGACGGCATTGGGCTGGATGAGGTGCAGCTGGGGGCATCACATGCCTGCTTTCGCGTTGTGGGACCTGGGTCTGATTCCCAGCACCACCAAGACCAAAATGTCCAAATAACCAGGGCAGAGCCAGCCCTGTTGTGTTGGTCTGATGTTGGGTAGGAAATTTATTTCAATTAAAAAAATTATTGATCTGTTCAAACTGTCTTTCTTGTGAAATTTTGGTATTATAAATTTTGCCTGTGGATTTCTATTTTATTTAGCTTTAAAGCCATTAGCAGTTTATATTTATAAGTATCTATTGACTTTACTCATCTTTTCTATTATCTTTTTATTATATTCCTCATGTCTTTGGATTTTGGTCTGGTTTTTTTTTTTTTTTTTTGGTCTGTTTTTATCTTAACTGAGTTTAATGTTTCACTCATTTATCTTTAACATTTTTTATTTCCTGATAAATGCATTTAGGGTATACATTTTCCTTGAAGTACTGTGTTAGTTGAGTCCCACAAAATTTTACATGTATGGCTCAGTTTTAAATATTTCATAATTTATTTTCTACTAAGAGTTGTTTTTTTTTTTTTTTTCAGTACCAGGGATCATACTCGGGACCTTGCACTTGCGAGGCAGGTGGAGGAACCACTGAGCTAAATTCCCGGCCCACTACTGAGAGCTTTTTAGAAATACATTATTTACGTGTTTTTCCAGTTCTGGGGATTGAACCCAGGGCCTTTGCATTGAGGTACATCCCCAGCCCTTTTTATTTTATTTTATATTCTTTTCTATTTTACTTATTTATTTATTTTTGAGACAGAGTCTTGCTGTGTAGTTCAGGGTAGGCTTGAACTCACTATGTAGCCCAGGCTGGCCTTGAACTTGTGGCGCTCCTTCTGCCTCAGCCTTCTGAGTGCTGGGTTTAAGTACCACCACACCCAGGCCTTTTTATTTTTAGAGTCATTAAGTTGCCCACACTAGCCTTGAACTTGTGATCCTCCTGCCTCAGCTTCCAGAGAGCCGGGATTACAGGCATCCACCACTGTGCCTGGCTTGCTTTCTAGTAATGTTTTTTTTTTTGTCTCATTTTTTCCCTTCTGTCTCTCTTTCTCTTCTTCCCTCCTTTGCTTTCTTCTTCCTTCCCACTATGGTTGGAGAATATAGTATAATATTGATATTTTTGGAATTATTAAAACTTCCTTTAAGGAGCAACATGTTTAATTCTTTTTTTATTGTTTGTTTTTGTTTTTGTTTTTTTGAGTCAGGGTCTCACTATGTAGTCCAGGCTTGCCTGGAACGCACAGTGATCCTCCTGAGTCAGCCTCCCAAGGGCTGGGATACCATATGCCACCACATCCACCTCTCGTTTAATTCTTGTAAATGATCTGAGTGTGCTTAAAATGGTATGATCCTCTGTTGACTGTGGAATATGAATATGTGTCTCTCTCACTACCCAGGCCTTTGGATATGTGCCTATCTTTTCTGCTTGGTTTCCAAGAGAGGGTGTTAAGATGTTTGACTTGGCACCTGCTTCCTGCATTTCTCTCCGCATCTGAGGAGCTCTGCTGACATTAGTGACTTTTTCTCCTGGAAACCCTTCCACTGTGGCTCCCACACTCACCCTCTGCATTGACGGGCCTGAGTGTCTGTGTGGATTTGCGGGTGTTTTCTGGGAGGGTGAACGTCCTGCAGCTCCCTGAGGGCAGCCAGTTCCTGCTGCTCAAGCTACAGCCTCGTCACACAGTGTCTGCTCACGTTTGTGGAGCTTTGTTAATACAGTGGCTGAGATGTTAATGTCAGTGTCGTTTTAATTTGTATCTTTGTTATGTCTTTGTGCTGCTACAACAAAACTCCAGAGACTAGGTGATTTATAAAGAGCAGAAATTTATTCCATGCAGTTGGGGAGGCTGAGGATCCAGCAGGTGGATGTCTGGTGAGGACTGCCTGTCCCCTTCTTCAGAGGTGGCCCTTCATTGCTGCACCTTCTGGAGGGGAAGGACACTGTGTCCTCAGGGCAGAAGGGGCCAACAGGGAGGGCAGGGGCCAAGAGGGGCAAACTCCCTTGAGCCAGCCCTTTATGATGGCACCGAATCCCATTCAGGAGGGCAGACAATCATTTCCTAAAAGCCCACCTCCCAATGCTGTTTGGATCAAGTTTCTTTTTTATAGATTTTTTTTGCCAATTAAAACAAAGTAATGTTTGTAATACACAGCACAGTAAAACCTTGGTTTGTGAGCATGATTTGTTCCAGAAACATGCTTGCAGCCCAAAGCACTTGTATACCAAAGGAAATTTTCCCATGAGAAATAATGGAAACTCAGATGATTCATTTCACAACCCAAAAATATTCATATAAAATAATTACAATACTATAACAATACAAAATAAAAAAGAAAATACAAACTATGAAGAGAAATAAACAAATTAACTTGCTCTTCCCTTTGAAAACCTTTGTGGCTCGTATAAGGGAGACAAGAGAGAGGAGGGTTATTGTATAGGATGACTTTCACTATCACTAGTGGAATCACTGGTATCTGTTGGCTCAATAGAATCTTCTTCCTCCTCTTCCTCCTTTTCGTCTTCTTCCTCTTTCTCTTCCTCCTCCTTTTCCGCTTCCTCTTCTTCTTCCTCCTCTTCCTCTTCCTCCTCCTCCTCCTTCTTCCTCCTCCACTGGGAATCAAACTCAGGACCTTGTGCTTGCCAGGCAGGTATGGCGCCACTGTGGTATATCCCCAGCCCCACGTCGGCCCAGAATCTTTCTTTTTGTGCATCTTTAACAAGGAACCTATCCAATGACACTTGCTTTTGCCTCCTTTTGAGGATTTCATGGAAATGTGACATTGCATTTTTTTTGTTGTTGTTACCGGGGATTGAACTCAGGACCTTGCTCCTTTGAGGCAGGTGCAGTGCCACTGAGCTAAATCCCCGGCCCATTCCTTCAGTATTGTTTTGATTTGCATTTCTCTAATGGCAGAAGGTGCTGAACATTCTTTCATGTGCTAAACATTCTTTCATGTGCTAATTGGCTATTTGTCCTTCTTTTGAGAAATGTCTATTCATTTCACTTGCCCATCTTTTGATTGGGTCTTTTATTTTTGGGTGTCTTAATTGTTTTGTGTTCTTTATATTCTAGGTATTAGTCCTCTGTCTGAGAAGTAGCTGGAAAAACTTATCTCATTCTGTAGGTTGTCTCCACTCTGTTGGTTGTTTCCTTTGCTGTGCAGGAACTTTTTAATCTGACACAATCCTATTTGTTAATTCTTGGCATTATATCCTGTGCAATCAGGGTTCTGTTCAGGAAATCCTTTTGTGTGCCTACCTCTTCAAGAATGTTATGATTTTTAGGTTCTGCCACCTCCCCGGAAAGTGGAAAGACCAGAGTCCGATCACGGTGCCAAAAAAAAAAAAAAAGAAAGAATTTTATCACTTTAAAAAATTCCAGCAGATACAGTATTTCTGATTTTATATCTAGGTCTTAGATCCATTTTGATTTGATTTTAGTACAGAGAGATATGGGTCTAGATTCACTTTTCTGTATGTGGATAACCAGTTTTCCCAGCACAAGTCTTTAAAGAGGCTCTCTTTTCTCCAGCACATTTTATTGTCCCCTTTGTCAAAAATCAGATGGCTGAAGGTGTTTGGAGTAGTTTCTGCATCCTCTATTGTATTACTTTGCTCAATATGTTTGCTTTTGTGTCAGTACAATGCTCTATTTTATTATGGTAGCTTTGTAGCACATCTGAAGTCCAGGATTGTGATGCCTCCCCTGCTTTGTTCTTGTTGCTCAGGATTGCCTTGGTTATTCTGGGTTTTTTCTGGTTCCACATAAGTTTTAGAATTGGTTTTCTAGTTCTGTGAAAATTTTTGTGGTATTTTGATTGGAATTGCTTAAATCTGTATATCATTTTTGATAATTCTGACCATTTTGACAATATTGTTTCAACCTATCGAAGAACAGGGGTTATCTTTTCATTTTTCCCAGAGCACTATAGTTTTTGTCATAAAGGTCTTTCATTTCCTTGGTTGGTATTTGGTTTTTTTGAAGTTATTGTCAGTGCACAAGAATGCTATTAATTTTTGTGTGTTGACTTTGTATCTTGCCACTTTGCTGAATTTGTTTATTGGTTCCAAGAGTCTTCTGGCAGAGTATTTGAATCTTCTATGTAAGGATCATGTCATCCACAGATAAGGACAGTTTGACTCCCTCTTTCCCTATTCAAATCTCTTTTGTTTATTTCTCTTGCCTGATTGCTCTGGCTAAAGTTTCAAGTACTGTATTAAACAGGTGACAGTGGACACCTTTTCCTTATCCTGATTATAGAGGAAATGATTTCAGTTTTTCCCCAATTAGTATGATTCTGGCAGTGGGTATGTCAAAATGACTTTTCATCAGTTTAAGGTGAGATCTTTCTATGCCTATTTTCATCAAGGTTTTTATGAATGGATGTTGGATTTTGTCAAAGGCTTTTTCCACATCTATTGAGATGATCATGTTATTTTTATTCTTACTTCTGTTTCTGTTTGTTGATTTACATGTGTTGAACTATTTTTGCACCCCTGAAATAAAGCAAACATTGTCATGATCTTTTAAATGATTTCTTGCATTATTGGCCAGTATCCTGTTGAGGACTTTTGCATCTGTGTTCATTAGAGAGATTAGCTTGTAGTTTTCTTTTTCAGTTGGGTCCTTGTCTGGTTTTGGAATCAGGGTAATGCTGGCTTCCAGGAATAAGTTTGGAAGTACTCTTTCCCTTTCAATTTCATGGAAGGGTTTAAGGAGTCTTGATGTTAGTTCTTCCCTTAAATTCTGGAAAAATGTGGCAGTGAATCCACTGGGTCCTAAGATTTTCTCAGTCGGTACAGGTTTTTGTTTTTGCTTTTGTGAAACAGGGTTTTGCTGTGTAGTTTAGGCTGGCCTTGAGCTCACTATGTAGCCCAGGCTCTTTTCTTTCCTTCTTGTGGTAGGTTTGGCTAAGGGTTTATCAATCTTGTTTATCCTTTCAAGGAACCAAATCTTTGATTCATCGATCATTTGCATTTTTTGGTCTCAATTTTATTAATTTCTTCTTTGATCTTTATCATTTCTTTCTTTCTAGAAGTTTTGGATTTGGGTTGCTCTTGATTTTCTAGGACCTTGAGATGCATCATTAAATTGTTTAT